GGACACACAAAACTACACACACTATTATAAATGTACATTGTTACACACACACACACACTCCTACCCATTCACACACACAGAGCTGAGAGTTTGAGAAACTTCATCATGGGATGTTATATATAGAAATGAGACCACAGCTGTCCATTAGGCTAAAAGCACAGAGATAGTGTAGTGCTGTGCAGAAGCACAGTCCTGTCTCTTTGTGACAAGAGAGAGTAGAAGAGAAAGATAAATTTTAGAGGGTCTGTACAAAGGTAGGGAGCAGGGAGAGTGAGATACAGAGCCGTCATGGAGAGGAAGGGAGAGGGGGACCGGGAGAGAGGGAAGAAAGACTGCATGGGTGAGGGAGAAAGAGATTGGGGGGGTCTGTACCACAGGTGGCTGGTGGCACCTTAATTGGGGAAGATGGGCTCATAGTAATGGCAGCAACGGATTAAATGGAATGGTATCAAACACATCAAAAACATTCACTCCATCAGTCCTGCTCTCACCAGCCTCCTGTGGTCTGTACAAAGGTGGAGAGGGGCAGAGAGATACAGAGAGATAGATATTGTGGAAAGGGAAGCGGTTTGATGTTTATTGGGATGACTCTTGTCCTGGAGGCAGAGCTCACGATTTCCACTAGATGGTCCAGCGGTCAAAATAGGCTATCCTGTAAAAATTCATAAAAACAAAATAACGATTTTTGGTCTCAATTTAGGGTTAGGCATAAGGTTAGCAGTGTGGTTAGGGTTAGGTTGAAAATCAGATTTTATAGCCTCCCGAGTGGCGTCACTACAGACCCGGGTTCGATCCCGGGCTGTGTCGTTCGGGTTAGGGGAGGGTTTGGCCGGCTGGGATGTCCTTGTCCCATCATGCTCTAGCGACTTGTGGTGGGCCAGGCGCATGCACGCTGACTTCGGTCGCCAGCTGTACAGTATTTCCTCCGACACATTGGTGCGGCTGGCTTCCGGGTTAAGCGAGCAGTGTGTCAAGAAGCAGTGCGGCTTGGCGGGGTCGTGTTTCGGAGGACGCATGGCTCTCGACCTTTGCCTCTCCCGAGTACGTACGGGAGTTGCAGCGATGGGACAAGACTGTAACTACCAATTGGATATCACGAAAAAGGGGTGCCAGCTTAGTGACTACCCTGCAAAGCTGCCTCCAGTACATGAGTAATCCCAATAAATGCCAAAGCTCTGGTAGAGATTAGGAGGTCTGCATGGAGGACAAAAAGAAGGGGGAAGAGGGACTGAAAGATTGTTTCATTATCAACTGTTTTGGCAATGGCAAGTGTTTACCACAATAGTGTGCTGGAATTTAATCAAATTGAATGAGAGGGGAAGGAGGGAGAGAAATAGAGAGGAGAGAGAAATAGGAACCCTAGTCAAAAGGTCTTCTAGAATTCTGATAAAACAAATCCAATTGAAATCCAAAATAAAATCCTATAGGACATTTTGACTAGTGAAGAAAGAAATAGAAACATAAAGAAATAAAGTAAGAGAGCGCAGTGAGAAAAGAGGCCCTCCTAACTACCAGGCAGACTGAGGCATTGCTGTAGGTGACTGTCAGAAGTCCACCATGACTGATATACATTTAGAGAGAAGAAAGCCAGAGAGGAGATCAACTCTCTTTCACACCGTGGGAGTGTACTGTACTGTCAAATCAAATCAAATTGTATTTGTCACATGCTTCGTAAACAACAGGTGTAGACGAACAGTGAAATACTTACTTACGTGGCCCTTCCCAACAATGCAGAGAGAGAGAGACAATAGAGAAATAATAGAATAGTAATTACATGTAATAATAAAAGTAATAATAAGTACAGAATGAGTAACGATAAGTTGGCTATATACACGGGGTACCAGTACAGAGTTGATGTGCAGGGGTATCAGGTAATTGAGGTAGATATGTACATATAACTAGGAATAAAGTGACTAGGCAACAGGCTAGATAATAAACAGTAGCAGCAGCGAATGTGAAGAGTCAACAAAGTTAGTGCAAAAAGGGTCAATGCAGATAGTTAAATAGTTAACCAAATAGCTACCCGGACTAACTATTTAGTAGTCTTATGTCTTGGGGGTAGAAGCTGTTCAGGGTCCTGTTGGTTCCAGACTCGGTACCGCTTGACGTGCAGTAGCAGAGAGAACAGTCTATGACTTGGGTGGCTGGAGTCTTTCACAATTATTAGGGCCTTCCTCTGACACCGCCTGGTATAGAGGTCCTGGATGATATACTGGGCCGTACGCACTTCCCTCTGTAGCGCCTTGCGGTCGGACGCCAAGCAGTTGCCATACCAAGCGGTGATGCTGCCAGTCAAGATGCTCTCAATGGTGCAGCTGTAGAACGTTCTGAGGATCTGAGGGCCCATGCCAAATCTTTTCAGCCTCTTGAGGGGGAAGAGGCGTTGTCGTGCCCTATTCATGACTGTGTTGGTGTGTGTGGACCATGATAGAGCCTTAGTGATTTGGACACAGAGGAACTTGAAGCTCTCGACCCGCGCCACTACAGCCCCGTCGATGTGGAAGGGGGCGTGCTCGGCCCTCCGTTTCCTGTAGTCCACGATCAGCTCCTTTGTCTTGCTGATGTTGAGGGAGAGGTTGTTGCCCTGGCACCACACTGCCAGGTCTCTGACCCTCCTCCCTATAGGCTGTCTCATTGTCGTCGGTGATCAGGCCTACCACCGTCGTGTCGTCAGCAAAATTAATGATGGTGTTGGAGTCGTGTGTGTGTGTAGTGTGGGGGCTGTGCTGCTTGCTTCACTCCCTTTGCCAGTTTCATTTTCCATTAGATTTAAACGCTCTATCTCTCATGTCCATCACAGACTTTGAGAATACAAAAGAAAAAGCAAACTGTACACTACCGGTCAAAAGTTTTAGAAAACCGACTCATACAAGGGTTCTTCTTAATTTGTACTATTTTCTACATTGTAGAATAATAGTGAAAACATCAAAACTATGAAATAACACATATGGAATCATCTAGTAACCAAAAAAGTGTTAAACAAATCAAAATATATTTTATATTTGAGATTTTTTAAATAGCCACCCTTTGCCTTGATGACAGCTTTGCACACTTGGCATTCTCTCGATCAGCTTCATGAGGTAGTCACCTGGAATGCATTTCAATTAACAGGTGTGCCTTCTTAAAAGTTAATTTGTGGAATTTCTTTGAGCCAATCAGTTGTGTTGTGACAAGGTAGGGGGGTATACAGAAGACAGCCCTATTTGGAAAAGACCAAGTCCATATTATGGCAAGAACAGCTCAAATAAGCAAAGAGAAACGACAGTCCATCATTACTTTAAGACATGAAGGTTAGTCAATCTGGAACATTTCAAGAACTATGAAAGTTTCTTCAAGTGCAGTCGCAAAAACCATCAAGCGCTATGATGAAACTGGCTCTCATGAGGACCGCCAAAGGAATGAAAGACCCAGAGTCACCTCTGCTGCAGAGGATAAGTTCATTAGAGTTACCAGCCTCAGAAATTGCAGCCCAAATAAAGGCTTCACAGAGTTCAAGTCACAGACACGTCAACTTCAACTGTTCAGAGGTGACTGTGTGAATCAGGCCTTCATGGTCAAATTGCTGCAAAGAAACCACTACTAAAGGACACCAATAAGAAGAAGAGACTTGCTTGGGCCAAGAAACACGAGCAATGGACATTACACCGATGGAAATTTGTCCTTTGGTCTGTAGTCCAAATTGGAGATTTTTGGTTCCAACCGCCTTGTCTTTGTGAGACGCGATGTTGGTGAATGGATGATCTCCGCATGTGTATTTCCCACCGTAAAGGATGGAGGAGGAGGCATTATGGTGTGGGGGTGCTTTGCTGGTGACACCGTTTATGATTTATTTAGAATTCAAGGCACATTAACCAACATGGCTACCACAGCATTCTGCATCGATATGCCATCCCATCTGGTTTGGGTTTAGTGGGACTATCATTTGTTTTTCAACAGGACAATGACCCAACACACCTCCAGGCTGTGTAAGGGTTATTTTACTAAGAAGGAGAGTGATGGAGTGCTGCATCAGATGACCTGGCTTCAACAATCCCCCGAGTGGGACCGTAGAGTGAAGGAAAAGCAGCCAACAAGTGCTCAGCATATGTGGGAACTCCTTCAAGACTGTTGGAAAAGCATTCCAGGTGAAGCTGGTTGAGAGAATGCCAAGAGTTTGCAAAGCTGTCATCAAGGCAAAGGGTGGCTATTTGAAGAATCTGAAATATAAAATATATTTTGATTTGTTTAACACTTTTTGGGTTATTAAATGATTCCATATGTGTTATTTCATAGTTTTGATGTCTTCACTATTATTCTACAATGTAGAAAATAGTAAAACAAATAGAAAAACCCTTGAATGAGTAGGTGTTCTAAAACTTTTGACCGGTAGTGTCGTTTTTTAAAATCTGTTATAGAGAGAGGGGGAAGATATGGAGAGGTTGAGGGAGAGAGAGAATTGAGAAAACAGGCTGTCTTTTGGGTGAAAGAAATGGTGTTGAATAATTTATAATGACTTTACACATCAACTACAGTTTTTTCCATGCTGCTCGCAAATAAATAAGAAGTGTTGCATGCTCACACGTTAAAACACAGTGGAGTGGCTGTGTGTGTGTGTGCATATTTCTGTGTCCTACGTTTTGATTTTTTTAATCATAATTAATAAGATTATATCGACAGGGGAAACTGATTCTAGATCAGAACTCCTACTCTGAGACGCTTTATGAATACAGACCTGGGTTCAAATAGTATTTGCCATAATGACGTGAAATGCCCTCAATAGGAAGCCATAGTGACGTGAAGTGCCCTCAATAGCAAGCCATAGTGATGTAAAATGCCCTCAATCGGAAGTCACTACTTTGCCAGGTTAGCGGAGAGTGACTCAATAGAGAACGTTCCTGTGTGTGTGTGTGTGTGTGTGTGCATGCACGTGTGTGTGTCGTAGGTCCAAGGCCAGTAGTTGTATCCTCCAGACCGACCCGCTGAGCTTGAACTCAGTGATCCTGCCATTCAAACACCCAGGGATGTCCTACACGGCAGATGAACAGTGTCAGATCCTCTTCGGTGCCACCGCCTCCCACTGTCAGAACATGCAGGTGAGTGAAGCACTGGGAAATGAGAGTGAACTGCATCGCTGCATCAGAAATGCAGCAACGTTTTTTTTCGAAGGGTGCATTCACACTGAGCAGCACAGCGTAAAATGGCGGCGCCAAATGAATGTATTTCAATGGGGAAGGTGCATTGGGGTGGTGGAGGGAACGTGCATCAGTTTGCTTGAGGTTGCAGCACACCAAGCACTGCCTTTAGTCTTTAGCCAGAGTCCCTTGTCTTGAGAGAAACCAACTGCTGTCTGCTAACCCTCCCTACACACTCCATTAAAAACCACTCAACCTTAAAGCCACACCACACCAAACCAGAGAAACGTTAACAGGCTTGTCGTCATTAGCAGACCACCTATAGACCTCTAACCCAATAGAGGAATAGATAATAGTAGATTAATAAACATTGCCAATAATAGTCCCAGTCAATGACTCCACCGCTTCAAAAATGATTAATTAATTAAAATCTGTTATAGAGATAGGGGGAAGAGATGGAGAGGTTGAGGGAGAGAGAGAATTGAGAAAACAGGCTGTCTTTTGGGTGAAAGAAATGGTGTTGAATAATTTATAATGACTTTACACATCAACTACAGTTTTTTCCATGCTGCTCGCAAATAAATAAGAAGTGTTGCATGCTCACACGTTAAAACACAGTGGAGTGGCTGTGTGTGTGTGTGTGCATATTTCTGTGTCCTACGTTTTGATTTTTTTAATCATAATTAATAGATTATATCGACAGGGGAAACTGATTCTAGATCAGAACTCCTACTCTGAGACGCTTTATGAATACAGACCTGGGTTCAAATAGTATTTGCCATAATGACGTGAAATGCCCTCAATAGGAAGCCATAGTGACGTGAAGTGCCCTCAATAGCAAGCCATAGTGATGTAAAATGCCCTCAATCGGAAGTCACTACTTTGCCAGGTTAGCGGAGAGTGACTCAATAGAGAACGTTCCTGTGTGTGTGTGTGTGTGTGTGTGTGCATGCACGTGTGTGTGTCGTAGGTCCAAGGCCAGTAGTTGTATCCTCCAGACCGACCCGCTGAGCTTGAACTCAGTGATCCTGCCATTCAAACACCCAGGGATGTCCTACACGGCAGATGAACAGTGTCAGATCCTCTTCGGTGCCACCGCCTCCCACTGTCAGAACATGCAGGTGAGTGAAGCACTGGGAAATGAGAGTGAACTGCATCGCTGCATCAGAAATGCAGCAACGTTTTTTTTCGAAGGGTGCATTCACACTGAGCAGCACAGCGTAAAATGGCGGCGCCAAATGAATGTATTTCAATGGGGAAGGTGCATTGGGGTGGTGGAGGGAACGTGCATCAGTTTGCTTGAGGTTGCAGCACACCAAGCACTGCCTTTAGTCTTTAGCCAGAGTCCCTTGTCTTGAGAGAAACCAACTGCTGTCTGCTAACCCTCCCTACACACTCCATTAAAAACCACTCAACCTTAAAGCCACACCACACCAAACCAGAGAAACGTTAACAGGCTTGTCGTCATTAGCAGACCACCTATAGACCTCTAACCCAATAGAGGATAATAGATAATAGTAGATTAATAAACATTGCCAATAATAGTCCAGTCAATGACTCCACCGCTTCAAAAATGATTAATTAGGCCTATTTTGGCCTTATACAAATAAAGATAAATTTAGAACAATACATGAGCAGCTGTACCAATAGTCGTTGATGGAAGTTGGAACGCCCACCCACAGGTGCAGGTACAGTATAATAGAGTTGACTGCCTGTAACTTAGCGGCGCCGCTTTGAAGTTGTACACTAAGGAAACAAAGCATGACCACATGACATATGTAGTACTATTTTGACCATGTATACGTTAAGAAACCCCCCCATTATTTTTAACATCCCTGTTAGGTACTTAGTGATAACATGGTAAATGTTTCTACATTATTAACAATTTGAAAATACCCATCATCTTGTACTCCAATTAATGTCAAATGGGTCAAGTCCACTTATACAGTAAGTCAAGCGTTGTAAACTTCGATTCACTTCCTGACTCGACAAGGAGTTGTCCCCAAATTTAATGACTACACACAGAAAATAGCCTGGCTGTGTTTTAAGGAAACTAGATAAAGCTACTATTCATTCCAATTCTCATTTCATCAGTACCATCTGTGGTCGTTTGAACCTAGTGGACTCTCTCTATCCCTCCCCCAATCTCTCACTCTTGGGTTCCTATTCTCCCATTTGATTGCATGCCGTTTGATTCAGAATCGTGTCCAGTTGTCCACCATTGATGAGCTGTTGCTTTTCTTAGAGGATTATGGTCCTAATGTGATAGAATTCAGTCATGTTTCTCGATCTCTTTATCCATCTCAGTCAGCTACTCCACAAACCAGGGCCAGTGCTTATAAAGCATCTCAGAGTAGGAGTGCTGATCTAGGATCAGTTTTGCCTTTAATGTCATAATGAGTAAGGTTACATGACCTCCCGCTGCTTCTTTAACAGAGACATTGCACAATAAACAACAACTGTCAATATAGATGTCAAAGTGTCTGGGTGTAAGCTAGACAGCTATATATTTCACCTATTGTTTTGTAGGGGTCATCAACATGAGTCATTCATCTTGGTTGATGAGAGAGAGAGAGAGAGAGAGAGAGAGAGAGAGAGAGAGAGAGAGAGAGAGAGAGAGAGAGAGAGAGAGAGAGAGAGAGAGAGAGAGAAGAGAGAGAGAGATCTGATCCTCGTCGATAGAGCGATTCCTCTCCTCTAGCCTCTCTCTCCTCTCTCTCTCTCTCTCTCTCTCTCTCTATCTCTCTCTCTCTTCTCTTCTCCTCTCTCTCTCTCCTCTCTCTCGCTCTCTTCGCTCTCTCTCTCTCTCTCTCTCTCCTTCTAAGAATATCTATTGAATACTCTGTTCTCAGCAGATGTACACGTAAGATAATCTATCACCTGGGAAATGGGTGGCAGGTCATCCACATGACTGCCTGTGTTTTATGATGCTGACAGAGCCACCACTGCCAAGCTTTAATCAGTTAGGGCCCTGACACACTCCCCTGGGTGGTAGGGAGTGTGTGTGTGTGTGGAAGTGTGTGTTTGTGTGTGTGTGGATCAGTACAGATGTGTGTAAGTGGGCTTCCACAGATCTGTGTGTGTGCCTACATCTGAGTTGGTGTGTGAAGATAGATCAGTGTGTGCGTGCGTCTTGAGATCCGGCAGATTATTCTGTTAGACGTCAACGTAGAACACAAACTAGACACTGCTGCATTGTGGGTCTTGATTAAATCCTTAAAATATGCAAGTAATTTACATAAGAACATCCTGAAATAGGGTGCAATCTTTTTATATCAGACAGATTATATTTATCTTTGCCATGTAACCCCTACGATCTCATATTTCCCCAACTGCAACACTACAAGCTCTTGTGAGTAAATCATCTCTCCTTTTGCCATTCCAAGATACACTGTGATTTTGGACAGTGTACACAGTATGTGGCTAAGATGAAAAAATAAAAATAGTTGAGACCTTGGAATTATACGGTCCAACTGATGTGCTATTGTACAATTTCTGCAATGGAAAATGGAAAAACTAATTATAACTTGAAACTTAGAAGCTCAGTATCACATATTAACAGTTTTCTAAGAAAAGTACACAAATACACCAGTGGACATATAATTATATTTCCATGGATCCCTTATTGACCTACTCTAAGCTTCCTGTTTTTAATGTTAATGTGGCCTTGTTGACATGCTCGTGGAGTGGCCTGATTATTTGCTTGTTGGCATGGGCTGGTCAGGTCATGGTGATTACCTGGTAATTACCTTTGGACAGTAGGGGACTTGGAGTATCATGGAGTTCTGCTTTGGGTAACGCTTAGGTCTGTATGAGGTGAACCTGCAGGCTTGTATGTGTCTTCTTGAATGTGTTTTAATGGCCTCCTGCTGTGTGTGTGTGTGTGTGTGTTGGGATCATGTGGAATCGGTGTGTCTGTGTTGAGTGTGACACCTGTGTAGACAAAGATTGGACAGATAAATTGCAGAGACTAGAGGTCACGGCAAGGGAAGCAGTATCACGGAGCGTGTGTCTCAATGTTTATGTTTAATGCCCTTTCTGCTTGCCCAAACACTTGAACACCCTCCTCCGAATCACAATGATATCCTTTATATCCACTAACAGAGTAGGCTGATGTACGTCACACACACACAGGGATCAAAATAGACCAATTTCACCTAGCATCTGACACTCATCATATGACATTCTACTCCGTGTGACTTCTCTGATTTCAACATGCATCACACACACACACACACACACACACACACACACACACACTCCCATAGGAATGTGTGGAATGTTTAGCTCTCCCTTAAATCACGCTGTTCAGTGGAATTCCTATCCTGTGTTATAGTGTGTGACCTGACCCTGTGACCGCCCCCTGTAGAGGAGAGACTTGTACTGTTTATTTAATGGACCGTCCCTTTATGGGCCAGCTACTGCCCCGTTACCTGCCCTATATCACTGAACCATTCCTTTAACAAAAATATAATTTTGCCCAAGTTTTGGTTGCTTGAAGGTTAAGGGCCAGCTACTAACTTATGACCATTAACTGACCTATAACCAGACTGAACTTTAAACGGCTACTTACTGCTCCTATCACTGTACCATCCCTTTAAGGGCCAGTAACTGCCCCATGACCAAATACTGTGGGAATGTGGTTAGAATGGTCTGTGAAGGTCATGTTGAGTTGACAAGGTGCTGTCTCTGTACACACACACACACACACACACACACACACACACACCTTCTAGTCCGTGCCACATTATGCAGCCTGCAGCCTTATTGAGTGACTGTCCTGTTTGTGGCTTTTCCACAGAGTGGCCTTTCCAACACACACAGAGCCCAGTGTGGCCAGACTGGCCCTGCTCCAGAGGCTGCCTAGAACATTCATCCAGCCCAGAGACTGGTTGTAAACACCAAGCACAACAACAACTGTCTTTACCCACTTCACTTTATCCACCCCATAACTTTTAGCCTTACATAGCACCAATACACAAACTACACAACAACTGTATACCGACCCCTAATCCACTCTTACACAATAATTTGACACAGACGATTGCCTTTTACCCACCCCCAACACAGAACTACTGGTAATATGGCACACAGACAACTCAGCCTCTCCTAACATAGTACTTAAATACTAATACAGAAAACTACCGCCTGGCTGTACTCATTTCCTCAATCCCTAACTCACCCCTACACAGCACCAACACCACCAACAGCCTAGAGACTTCATTATCCCCAAAGGGCCATTTGTGTTGCCAAACTTCCTTCTACAGAACAATTAAACACAAACAAGCCAACAGCTACTGTAACTGCCGTTGCAAAATCAGACAAACAGGCTTCAGCAGTCAAGAAAATAACTTGCCAAATATCATATCCTTCACAGTACTTCCACAGGATGACAAAACAACATCTTGTTTTGGGAAGGGAGTTACTGCTTTCAGTACATGAAGGGAGTTACGGCTTTCAATACATGAAGGGAGTTACTGCTTTCAGTACATGAAGGGAGTTACTGCTTTCAGTACATGAAGGGAGTTACTGCTTTCAGTACATGAAGGGAGTTACTGCTTTCAGTACATGAAGGGAGTTACTGCTTTCAGTACATGAAGGGAGTTACTGCTTTCAATACATGTCAAACATTTTCTGAAAAGGTTTTCATCTGACAGCGACAGTATGCTAAGAATGTGATATAGGATGTGTGTGATGGTATGTGTGCTAATCTTGCGTGTATGTGCGCAAGACTGCTTGCAGGTGTGTGTGTGCATCTGTGCAAGAGGTGAGGGGTATATAATCCTGCACAGCTAGACTCTTTGTTTGATTGACAGATCTTCATTTAGCTACCCCATCCTCTCTCCACCACACACACACACACACACACACACACACAGCATTGAATAGAGCACCTCTTCAGGGGGTAAAAGGTGACATTGAGAGCAGACAGACAGACAGACAGAGACAGGAGAGAGGGCTCACACATGCCAATTAACCAAGCCCCCCTCGTATTATCACCATGGTTACCGTGCCAACCCGCAGCCACTCGAATATCTGTCCCAGTCTGATGGCTAACTGCTTGTCTCTGACAGTAAACTCATACCTAGAGGCACACACACACACACACAGGGCCTGTCTAACTTGGGGTATTTGCGCAAAATTATTATTATCTGGCTAATAATGGGGGCCTCAAGGGAAAAAAAATGGGCCGGTGTGGGGGCCTCAAGAAAAAATTTATGGGCTAGGGTGTTAGAAATGCCAGGGGTGTTAGACGTGTAAGCTGCTGTCAAAGCCACATGACGTGTGCAACGATGTCATCAAGGCAAAGGGTGGCTACTTTGAAGAATCTCAAATATAAAATATATTTTGATTTGTTTAACACTTTTTGGGTTACTACATGATTCCATATGTGTTATTTCATAGTTTTGATGTCTTCACTATTATTCTACAATGTACAAAATAGTAAAAAAAACAAAAAAACATTGAATGAGTAGGTGTGTCCAAACTTTTGACTGGTACTGTATACAAGCTCCCAGTAATTTATTGGTTAAACCACCAACGTTTCGGCATCACTGAGCCTTCTTCAGGGCACACTTCTTCATTACCCTGAAGAATGCACAGTGATGCCGAAACGCTGGTTGTTTACCCAATAAATGACAGGGAGCTTGTGTATAGAGTGTGCAACTCTCTTAATTTATTTTTTATAGCTTACTATTTACTCGCCGTTAGTCAGCACCTCTACTGACTTTTTGGGGTGTGCACCAGCTCATGCTTTTTATTACACTTTTATATAGAGAGAGACACACACACACACACACATTATCTGTATCTTTCACACGGACAGAGAGGTAAATGTATATTCCTGCTACACACAAACACGGGTGCACGCACACACGCAATGGCTCCTTTTTACATGGTGCTGTAATTAGTAGCAAAGTTAATTAGACACAGAAACCAGAGTGAGGAATTGTCCTGCTGGGCTGCACTCATCCATCACGTCTCCAGGGAAGATGATCACACACAAATGCGAGCATGCACAAAGACAACACGCAAAAGCATACAGCATTCGTATCCACACACATGGAAACACACACACACAAACGCTCACACATGCACACACATTCAAGAGCACACGTGTTCCTTCTCCCCCACTAATGTGTTCCTTCTCCCCACTAATGTGTTCCTTCTCCCCCACTAATGTGTTCCTTCTCCCCCACTAATGTGTTCCTTCTCCCCCACTAATGTGTTCCTTCTCCCCCACTAATGTGTTCCTTCTCCCCATTCCAGCCACTCATCTTTCTCTTTCTCTCTCTCTCTGACACACACACACACACACACACACACACACACACACACACACAAACACAAAGCCCTCAGTAGCATGTCAATTCCAGTGTGCGGTAAAACATAAACGTCTGGCAGAGAGCATTTCTCTTTCAGCTTTCAGTGGCCTTCTCTAGCTAATAGCACCTCTTCAGATGTGGCACTTCAATCAGACAGACACAGACACAAACACATCCTTGTAACGATATCCCAACAACACCGCTCCCTCCCTCTTTTTTCTCAACCCGTCTAGCTGTCTTTCTTTCGAACAAGGTGAGCGAGACCGTGACGTCCGGCTCTTCAAACTACTTCCCCCTCATAAGCATACAGCACCGTTCTTCAGATTTGTTTGCTAGCCTCCGGTTTACCTTGCTGAACCCAACTCTGGTCTGGTCCATGCCTAGAATTCAGAAGCGCTGCTTTGGGACTCGGTGAGGGGGGTAGACAGAAGTGACTCTCCTAGTTCTTTCCTCTTTCTTACTTTCTCTTTACAAGCCCCCTGACAGACATTGAAATAGGACGGGGTGATGCATCAGGAGAGCGTGCCCAAACAGATCTGGTTAAGATTAGCAAACACGCACACACACACGAGCACATGCAAACACACATGGCCGTTAACAGCTAGCGCAGTACAAACAGCTAGAACAGTAGAAAACAAAAAGCCTTGTTAAAACTGCAGGAAGAGTGGAGAATAAACAGAAGAAACGAGAGCGAACAGCGAGAGAGAGGAGAGAGAGAGAGAGAGAGAGAGAGAGAGAGAGAGAAGAGATAGAGCGAGAGCGAGAGAGAGACGTAGAGAGAGGGCGAGGAGAGAGAGAGATCGATGAGAGAGCGAGAGAGCTCAGATATCGTATCTCTCTCTCTCTCCTCTCTCCTCTATCTCTCTCTATCTCTCTCTCTCTCTCTCCTCTCTCTCTCTCTCATCAGAGGGTCAGGGTGATAGGAGCAGAGACTCAAATGGAATCAGGTGCGGCACAGCGTGGGGATGGCGAGGCGTGACGGAGGCTCAGGAGAGGGTTGTTTGACTGTTTGTTTACAAGTAATTGAGCCACAGACGTACGATCAGCCATCTCAAATAACACATGGGAGACCGAGGGAGGGGGGGGGAGATGGAGGGATGATGAGATAGAGGAGAGAGTGGGATGAAGGAAGGAGTGAGGGACAAGGAAGGAGAGAGAGACGGTGGAGGGAGGGAAGGAGGGAGGGGAGGATGGGAGATGTTTGGCTGAGGAGAGAGAATGAATGATGGGCTTGGGAGGAAGGGGAGGATGGGAGATGTTTGGCTGAGGAGGAGAGAGAATGAAGGATGGGCTTGGGAGGAAGGGGAGGATGGATAGAAGAGAAGGAGAGAGACCCTGGGGGAAATGGTATCCGATAATTAAAGAACTGTTGTCTTGCAGAATGGGCTAGTCTTTATACTATGTGCTGCTGAGCACATTCCCAATTCAATTTCAATCCGATAATATGAATACGTGCCCATGCTTGCTAAGCTTTTTGCTGTCAAAGTAATGAATAACATAGCTCAAATCCACCAAATATGCACATCCATTATGACGCCATAGTCTGACAAAGACGACTTATATGAATACTAGTAGACCAAAGCTTTCTCTCTGACCCAACCAGTGTGTCCATATGTGGCTCTTTAAAACTGACCCCAGACCAGTGTGTGAGGGTTACACAAACATCACCCAGCATAGCCTCCTTAACCCTTCCTGCATAAAGAGCACAGTGTTCAAATACATACAGGAGGGGGTGCATCTCAATAGTCTAAAGTGGCTTCCTCCCTTCATCTCCTCTCTTTGATATGCACTAATATTAGAACAAAGGTCAAAGCAATGTGAAGGAAACCTAGCATGAATCTAGTGTGTCACTTGTGCAGTTCGTTAAAAAAGCTAAGAATACAAAGACAAAGAGAGGAAGCTACTTTAGACTATTGAGATGTACCCTCCCGACTATTGAGATGTACGACTTCAACAGCGCTCTGGCTCCAACGGAGGGAAATTCATGACATTCCTCCATCGCTGCCCATCACTCTTTCCCACCATTACTTTTTTCTTATGTTTGTGAAAATTACCACACCATGTCATTCTCTTCGACTCCACTCTCAATTTCCTGTCTCGGCTGACGTTCGCAAAAGGCGCTCAAGAATGAGGGCGTGAGTTTTATCTGGTTGGGTCTCTAAAGCTCTTGGGAACAAGTACAAAGAGGAGAGAAGCTTGAGATTCATCCAATTCCCGCTTTCTAGCTGACAGATGAGAGATTAGTGGTTAATTAAGTTTGACAAGTTGACGGGCATGCACGGAACCGGCCCTGAGCCTATGAGAATTGAGTCTTGCAGGGGCCAAGACTCAATATTATCTAGCCTGTTGCCTAGTCACTTTATTCCTAGTTATATGTACATACTGTATCTACCTCAATTCCCTCATATCCCTGCACATTGACTCGGTACTGGTACCCCGTGTATATATCCAAGTTATTGTTTCTCATTGTGCATTTATTATTACGTGTTATTACTTTTCTATTATTTCTCTATTTTCCTTCCCGCTGCATTTTTGGGAACGGCCCATAAGTAAGCATTTCACTGTCAGTCTACACCTGTTGTTTTACGAAGCATGTGACAAATAAAATGTGTTTTCATTTTAATAGGAATAATAGATATAGTACGGCCCAGTCGGTGGGAAAACAACCCCAAGCCCCTTCTTCCCCTTTCATGTTGGCAGATCTGAAAGTATTGGATAGATGTAAGCACAATCCATAGCTAGGTTGACCCTTAACTGTTGCTTATACCTTTCCATTCTTGCAGATCTGCAAAGGGACAAGGGCTAGGGAAAGGGGCTAAGTGCTGGTTTTGGACTGGGCCAATCTTACTTGGTAGGACACAACCTAGCAGTCTAAGGCTACGCCCTCAACAACTAAAATCAGGGAAAGTTAGATAGGACTTATAAACGTCATTCATTTCCCACCCAGCCCTATCAGATGAGTTGGGGACCAGAAAACAAAACATCAAGAAGAAAGAAAACCATTTCCTTTTAGCCAACTCTGATTTAGCTACAGTCTGTGAGCTGCTGCTGCTAAGCAGAGAGAAGGTTACCACAGAGACGATTTCCATGTAGCATTTTTCAAATGTCATGCCTCAGTCAGAGCCAGAAAATAGTAAACACAGTCTCCGACGACCACCACAAAACACCCATAGTCTCACTGGAGCTAAAGCACTATACCACAGTCCATTTCATTCAAGTGGCCATAGTATCTTTCTTGATAAATTCATCAAAACCCACTTTCTGCTCTTGATAGGCATGTAAATTGCTTCCCATAACATCAAACGGCGCGTGAAAGTGACATCAAAGGAAATGGAGACTTTAAGTTTCACCTGGATCTGTTTTTTACCAGGGTTGTTTGTGTTGGAAGACGGTTTGGGCAATATGGAGACCGTGTTTGTTTCTGTACATTGCCATACTTCAATCATAGCTTTGAATTGAAAGTTCAAAGTATAAGTTCAAGGTTGAACCGTACTAATTAAAGGCCAAATTACTGTAACTGAACATTTGGAACAGTGCTTATTTGCATATTTCTTTCCAGCAGGGGTAAATTATACAGGGGTAATATATAAAACTGACAGTTCATTAGTGCCGATTCTTAGCAAATCAAAATGTTTCACTAGAACTAACATTTCAGAAAACCCTCAGATTGTTTCTACAACTGGGTTGCCAGCTTACTGGTTTCCTCTGCACTCCTACATTAGAGGAGTGGGGGTTTGGTTAAACATTTCTCTCACTAGGGTCTCCTCTCCAGCTAAGAGAGCAGGGAGAGCATCAGAGCAGGAGCATTAAGGATCAACTGCAATCAGCACTAGGCATAGACAGGGTTTAAAGATCAGGGAAGTACTGTAGCTGCAACTTTCCCAGCAAGGATCAATGCTGCATTACCGTAAGGAGAAGAGGAGAGGAGAGAGAAAGAGCAGACAGTATAAGGATCAATGCTGCATTACCGTAAGGAGAAGAGGAGGAGAGAGAGAAAGAGCAGACAGTATAAGGATCAATGCTGCATTACCGTAAGGAGAAGAGAAGAGGAGAGAGAAAGAGCAGACAGTATAAGGATCAATGCTGCATTACCGTAAGGAGAAGAGGAGAGGAGAGAGAAAGAGCAGACAGTATAAGGATCAATGCTGCATTACCGTAAGGAGAAGAGGAGAGAGAAAGAGCAGACAGTATAAGGATCAATGCTGCATTACCATAAGGAGAAGAGGAGAGGAGAGAGAAAAGATAGAAAGAGCAGACAGTATTTATTTTTCTCTTTCTGGCACAGTCATGTAGGCCTACTTTCTCTCCTTCTCCCTCCCGCTCTCGCTCTCACACTCTTTCATTTTCTCTTTCATACACACACTTGCACATCCAATTCCTCTATCATATCTCATTCTTTCTGTTTCTCTCTCTCACACACACACTCCCACATACACACTCCTTATCCCTCTCCCCCCTCTATAGGGGTCTATGGACAATGCGCAAACAGGGCCGACAGAGCGTAGCGCAGTGCTGCAATGTCGTTTTTCGTCCCAAAAGCGGCGGCTCCTTGTCATTCGACGCAATATTTTCCTACCTGGAAATTGAGACCCGACGTATCATTCCTTGCGAAGACTGAGGGGCAGCATTGAGTGATTTTAGCAACGGAAGTCCCGCCCCTGTGTCTACATCACATATTTTCCGGTATCCCTTCTGGTATAAACTTCGAAGAGATGGATGTTCTGCTACTTCGCTTCTACTACTTGCAAGATTCTTTTTTTGTGCTTTTTATTTCGACCATGGTTACCTGCAAGGAAACACGTGCCGTCATCATTGGCTTCACAGGCAAGGATATTGCTGCTAGTAAGATTGCACCTAAATCAACCATTTATCGGATCATCAACAACTTCAAGGAGAGAGGTTCAATTGTTGTGAAGAAGGCGTCAGGGCACCCAAGAAAGTCCAGCAAGCGCCAGGACCGTCTACTAAAGTTGATTCAGCTGCGGGATCGGGGCACCACCAGTGCAGAGCTTGCTCAGGAATGGCAGCAGGCAGGTGTGAGTGCATCTGCATGCACAGTGAGGCAAAGACTTTTGGAGGATGGCCTGGTGTCAAGAAGGGCAGCAAAGAAGCCACTTCTCTCCAGGAAAAACATAAAGGACAGACTGATATTCTGCAAAAGGTACAGGGATTGGACTGCTGAGGACTGGGGTAAAGTTATTTTCTCTGATGAATCCCCTTTCCGATTGTTTGGGGCATCCGGAAAACACCTTGTCCGGAGAAGACGAGGTGAGCGCTACCATCAGTCCTGTGTCATGCCAACAGTAAAGCATCCTGAGACCATTCATGTGTGGGGTTGCTTCTCAGCCAAGGGAGTGGGCTCACTCACAATGTTGCCTAAGAACACAGCCATGAATAAAGAATGGTACCAACACATCCTCCGAGAGCAACTTCTCCCAACCATCCAAGAACAGTTTGGTGACGACCAATGCCTTTTCCAGCATGATGGAGCACCTTGCCATAAGGCAAAAGTGATAACTAAGTGGCTCTGGGAACAAAACATCGACATTTTGGGTCCATGGCCAGGAAACTCCCCAGACCTTAATCCCATTGAGAACTTGTGGTCGATCCTCAAGAGGTGGGTGGACAAACAAAAACCCACAAATTCTGACAAACTCCAAGCATTGATTATGCAAGAATGGGCTGCCATCAGTCAGGATGTGGCCCAGAAGTTAATTGACAGCATGCCAGGGCGGATTGCAGAGGTCTTGAAAAAGAAGGGTCAACACTGCAAATATTGGCTCTTTGCACTTAATGTAATTGTCAATAAAAGCCTTTGACACTTATGGAATGCTTGTAATTATACTTCAGTATACCATAGTAACATCTGACAAAAATATCTAATTACACTGAAGCAGCGAACTTTGTGAAGACCAATACTTTTGACTACGACTGTACAGCTGGACACTCACCCATGTACCAAAGCAGGAAGGTCTCCAT